GCTCATTTGTACATCATTCTAGAGAGAAATAAATGGCCTTTTTAGAAAGTGAACCATGGATGGGGAAATGTTGGCAGTTTTCTCAAAAAAGGCTTAAATTCAAGAAGTTTTATATTTGCGTGGTTTTTTTTTGAGTTGCAAAATCCACTTGAACCTGACGCTGCTTTTTTCGAGGTTTCTCAAGAACCATTCGAGCCACATAATTCGTTTTGGCATCGTTGGATAGAGAATTGAAAAGTCGATTCAGTCGTAACAACGTGAGTGAGGAAATTCGAGTAGTTTTGACCCAGAAAGCGAAATTTGAATATCACACACTTAGGTTCAAGATTATGCTAAAATTCCATGTTTTCCATGTTTAACTCCATAAACCCATCCCAGATCCGATGATAAAGGAATGGAAGTGGTGACTCGCTTCACAGTGGACAACTTCAACAACGAGCGCACCTTCTACACCGACTCAAACGGACGCGAAATGATCCAAAGAGTGCGCAACAAGAGGCCCACTTACAGCTACGACTCCTCCATTGAGCCAGTGGCCAGCAACTACTACCCAGTCACCTCCAAGTTGGTCATCAAAGATGAGGATGGGGAGCTGGAGGTGGCCGTTCTGAACGATCGCTCCCAGGCTGGAACCAGCCTGGGCGAAGGCCAGATCGAGCTGATGGTGAGTGGGGGAAAATTGCCCATTAAATAATGGATTGCTGATGGTTCAATCCCAGGTGCACAGAAGAGACGTGAAGGACGACGCCAAGGGCGTAGGAGAGGCTCTGAATGACACAGAGTTCGACCAAGGGATCGTGGCCAGAGGCCAGCACTATCTCATTCTAGGTCCAAGTTCCACTCTTTTGGAACAAGGTGAGTGGTGGAGTGTGGATTTTCCTGGAAAAACGCTGTGGAAATTTAGGGAAAACGGTGGCAGCGCAGGAGCGGATTCTGGCCCACCAAAAGCTCCTGCAGCCCTGGGTGGGGATGGCTGAAGCAGGCGACCTAACAGTTGAAGCGCTTGAGAAGCTGATGAGCAAAACTGTGAGTCTAAATAAGACAGGCCCGAAAATTCATTAACCGTATTGTTCCCAGTACTCAGCTCTGAGCAAGAGCCTTCCGGAGAACGTGAATATTCTCACTTTAGAGCCATGGGCTGACTACACCTACTTGCTGCGATTGGAGCATATTTTCGAGAAAAATGAAGATCCAGAGTTGTCGTCCCCGGTCACTGTTAATCTGCAGGTAGGAGCAGGAGGCTCAAAACCAATCATTGCACAGTGCTTTTATTGCATTCTCCGATTTTTCAGGAGCTTTTCTCGGGCTTCGTAGTGAGGAAGGCAGTGGAAACCACCCTGGGGGCAAACAGGGAGTTGGCTGGTCTTAAAACCAAGTACGACTGGAGCTACAAGGGAACCTACAAGTACGCCAAACAGTCCCTGGCTGGCCTCGACGTGACGCTTCAGCCCATGGATATCAAGACCTTCATCATTGAAGTATCCAGATGAATTATTGTGCCAAAATAAACGGACTTTCCCAACGGTGTTTTAACTTTAAAATCCTGTGGCCTTTGATACGGATCAAGACATTGTTGTAACAAAGCAGTCTTAAGCGATCTAAAGGCCAAAGTAAACAGCGGATGTGGAAAATTCCCCAACGAAAAATTCATTGACCCACTTGCAGATTGCCCTCAACTGTTGGAATATGAACGCGCAAACCGGCAAGGTCGCCCAAACAAAAGTCACCATTTTTACAAAAGCAGACACCAGATTTATCTTTTCGTAAACAGTATATTCGAAAAATATGAGATAAAGTGAGACGTAGTGGGCTGCGACATTAGGCGCCGCTCATTGATCGGCTTTTGTGCTGGCGGTGCGCACATCCAGTCGCCTCTGGTCTGGATCAGCAGCCAGAGTTATCGGCGAGGGTCGGTCAAAGCCTTCTTGGGATTCCTCAATGGGAATGAGTCGGAAAGTGAAAGGTGAGTGGTGATGCGAAGCAGCAATCAACCGCTTTCGAAGAAAAGTTCCTGCCAGCCGCTATCCAGACGATCCCGAACTTTGCAGGTAAATGGCCCCTGTTCACGTGATAGAGAAGCAGTAGTCTGGAGCAGCCGCTAGCACAATGAACATTCGTCCGAAGGAAAAAGTAACTGCCGTCTTCAGAAGACTGTTCAAGTCTTCGCACAAGGAGGAAGGCCCCAGCAAGCCAAATGGGGCCGCTCAAGGATCGCCAGCCCGCAGGCTGTTAAGAAGTGAGTTTTAAACAGTTTTCAATTGACTACCAAAAAAAACGCTTTTGTTGCATTCAGGTGAAGACAGGCCAGCTTTGCAGTAACTCTATCTTGAGCTAAAGTTTGGATGCACTTTTTCAAATTACTTCTAAGGGCGCGGTTTGTTCTAGTAAAGCTCTGGACTTTATTTCCTATTTAGACACATTAGAGGCGTATTTTAAACTGGCTCAGTCGGTAGCAATTTTTAGTCCCTGGAGTGCCAAAACTTCTGTTATTGGCACTTGATTCCAGGGGCGGATCCAGCTTTAATGGGGTTATGTAGAAAAAATACAGTCTTCTGTTATCTACGAAATTAGAAAAATGATCGTCGT